GTGTGTCTGTGTGTCTGTGTGTCTGTGTGTCTGTGTGTCTGTGTGTCATTTGTTAGATATTCGTCTTGCTCTTGCTCTGCCCCCATTCCCTAATGCTTCTTCGCCCTACTAACTGGTGATGAACCTAAAGAGCCAAGGTTACTCTTTTACGTTACTCAACTCTGCTTATTGAGAGCAGTTTTAACATCCCATTGCTGTACTTGACAAATCAGTTAAAACACCATTCATTTATAGAGTTAGAACTTGGAAAAATTTACTTTGAACAAAGCTTCAGGGAGTGAGGAGTTGTGCTGCCCATTGTTCTTTGGCAGGATGATCTCTGTCTGCCTTCACCACAAATATATTTGCAAGGTCAGGAGTGTGGTGTTATTCCAAAGAAATTTTCTCACCACTGATTTAGTGATGTTTTTGCTAATATTAATTTCCACAATCCCTTGTGTTTTTTACCAAGTTGTCTGACAAAACTTCTTTTGCCTTATCAAGCACAGTGCTCAAATTTCTGCCAGCTAAGGATTAAGGAACAGAATATGAAGTCCCTGAATTTGTTGCATCTATCCTGAAGTGACATTCCATTTCCCTAACAGTACACCACCAGGACCCAAAATCTTAACATGTGGCACTTCGCTGAAATATTCAGACTTTTGTTGAAGCTTTTTCTATGGCATTCAGCAGGACAAATGCTGGAATGCCAAATTTCAAATTTATCCGAAAAGGAAAGAGGGTGCTGATTGGTTGGCAAATTCTTTCTAACTGGCCAAAGTGTTGCAGTTGAGAAAGTAACAGGCAGCTTGAGATTCTTAGCTCTCCAATGATCCTAAAATACAAGATTTGAATATTTTCCTTTTTCATTGCAGAGAATGGATTCACGTGTTGCTTCAAGCAAGTATAAATGAGCTACATTTTATGAGCTTGACTGAGACTGTAATTAAGTAGCCCATGTTTGCAAAAGCAAAGGCAATGTTTACTGCTAAATGCGATTCCTCATTTGGGCAACTCGTGCTGAATATAGGTCTGAGCGCACAAATAGCTATACTGAAAAACAATTCAAGATTGTGTAGCTCATAACAACATGGTTTATTTACACTACAAGCAACATAAATTATCCTTTGGAACCTGTTCTCTGCAAACAGTAGGAGGATGGTCGAGCCTTGTGCCTTTTTGTTCCCTGTTGCTTTCTCCGTGGCAACACTTTTTTTTTGGTTGGCAATTTGGTTCTGATTGGTCAATCAGCACCTTTCTCTCTTGTAGTTAAAAAGATTGTTTTGGTAGTATGAAATTTGGTGTTCTTGTTTGTCCTGATGAATGCAAGACGGTAAGCTTCAGCTACCTGTTTCTCTTGTCAACACTATCAATAGTTTGTCTTTTGTTGGGGGGGAAGGTCCACAATTGTATTCCCTTGATATAGGATCAATTATTTAGTGATAGGGTGTTTATATATTTTAAAACTGAGGTCCAAGAATGTCATCGCAGTCACTTGCTAAATAAGTATGATTATCCTATGAAATTTTGCACCACTGGTTGTGGGTTCTGTGTGCTCTTGTATGGCTGATGAGCTCAATCCGAGAGCTGCAACTCCAACCATATGTTCAGGAGGTGTTTCCAGGAAGTGGAATTGGTCTTTGTCCCTGAAATCCTTTCTCCAGTTCCATTTCTATACTATTTTCTGTCATTTATTGTTTCTATATAAGCACGATTCATGAAATTTTGATCAAATGTCTGTTTTATATAACTTTAGTATCTCAAGAGTTGTCTTGGATATTTTTCATCTCTGATCATGATACTGTGATATTTATGGGTTTCTGTGTTAATTAGTTTATATCTGTTTTAGGAATGGCAAGAAAAGAAGAGCATCTGACTCCAGTCCAAAAATCCTTAGCTATTCGGTAAGTGGCTGAAGTACTAGTTTTCCCAGTTTTGAGCAACTGTTGTTTATTTTAGTTTTGAAATATACACGATTCCTTTACCAGAATAGTAACTTTTTTTATAACATGTAGGAAACCTATACATCCTGCTTCAAGTGATATTTCACCCTTAATGCCCCACAAGAGAAAATATGAATCAGTGCTTATTCATAGACATGCAACAAAATATGTATGTTACTGGTACCAAATTTGAACAGTCACGTGTTTAAAATACTTTAAAAGGAGTTCACTGTCCTAGCACTGCAGCTGCTCAAGTTACTAATTTTCTTTAAATACTGAAGAAAGGATGAGTCACTTGTATGGATATGAGGAGTTCTGCTTTACTGAATAATAAAAGTACATTACAAGTAAACTTGCAGAACTGTAAACACATTACCCACAATTTAGACTAGTGTACAGATAGCAAAAGATATTTTTCCTTTAGGTTTTTTCTTCTTTCTCTCCTCCCATTCATACAACCAGCCTGGCTTTGGGATTTCTAGTTTTCTGTCTGTTCACTGAAATTGTACTGGAACTGTCTTCAGAAACTTCTGAAATCAGGTGTCCTAGGCCCAACCATCTTCAACTGCTTCATCGATGACCTTCCCTCCATCATAAGGTCAGAAATGGAAATGTTTGCTGATTGGTGCTGCACATTGCTCATTTGTAACTCCTCATATATTGAAGCAGTCCATGTTCAAATGCAACAAGACCGAGACAATATCCAGGCTTGGACTGACAAGTTGCAAGTAACATAAATGCCAGGCAATGAACATCTCCAATAAAAGGCAATCTGATCACCGACCTTTTTGACATTCAGTGGTTTTATCATTGCTAAAAATATCCTGGGGGGGTTACCATTGACCAGAAACTCAACTGGACTTGCCATGTAGAAAGTGTGTTTTACAAGAGCAGGTCAGAGGCTTGGAATACTATAACAAGTAACTTACCACTGAATCCCCGAAGCCTGTGCACAATCTCCTAGGCACAAGTCAGGACTATGATGGAATACGCCCCAACTGCCTGATGAGTACAGCTCTGACAACACTCGAGCCTTGATACCATTCAGGACAAAGCATTTTTGGCAATACACCACAAAAATCCACTCGCTTCACTGACACTCAACACACATGGCTACTACTATCTACAAGATGCATTGCGGAAATTTGTCAAAGATCCTTAGACAGCACCTTCCAAACACATGACCACTTCCAGCTAGAAGGACATGGGCAGCAGACTCATGAGAACACCACTATTTTCAAGTTTCCCTCCAAGCCACTCTCTGACTTGGAAATGTATTTCCCTTCCTTCACTGCTGCTGGGTCAAAATCTGGAAATCTCGCTAACAGCATTGTGGGTCTACCTATAGCACATCGACTGCAATCGTTCAAGAAGGCAGCATGTCACTAACTTAAGGGCAGCTAGAGATGAGCTGCAAATGCTGGCGATACCCTTATCCCATGAGTGAATAATTTTTTTATAATAGGACAAAGTGCAGATGCAAGTGCTCACCTGAGCTTGCATGCTAACAATCTACGCAATGTGTAGACTTCCAGAACTGAATTGGGCTGATCATGTAGCGAAGACTACTTACACTCCATTACCAAAGCAAACCAAGGTTCTATCAGAAGTGTGCTGTCACAGGAGTGAAAGGAAATGTTACAAGAAATCACCATATCTAAAGCCGAGGAAAAATATGAAGAGAAGAAGCCCAGGGTTAGCAACTCAAACAGAATTGTTTGCGATATCCTGTCCTACTTATCGCATAACCTCCTGGTGTAGATTGGCCGTAGGCAATGGCTACATAAACACCAAAGCGTCATATTTACCTCCAAAGAACAAGTGAAGAAGCTCTTTATTTGAACCTGAATGCTATCTGAATTCAACCTGTTTAAAAATGTTTATATGTTGATAAACTTTTACTCCTGGACTATCATAGTTTTGTAACAAATACTTTGTTCGACCTGATTATCAATTTCACTTGGAATTTCCTGTCTTTTTGAGGATGCATCATTACCATAAACTCATGTACACTTGTGCAATTCTGTTCAAAGAACTTCATTTCTTAAGTCAAAGTCTTGTGATTACAGTCTTGTGATCAAATCCTGCATATGATCCAAGTGGCATTTATAATTAAAATGAAAAATAGTTCTTGACTGGTTTTCAGAGCTCCAGGTTTAGCAAAGCTGCTCTCATTTCCTCCACCGCCACCAATTTGTTCTTTGGATGTGGATCAAGTTAGGAACCCCAGATTTATTATTTTACATCTGTACTTGCCCTGAGGTTTGGTTTTGCTGATGTTGTCAAGACCATGGCCTAGCTGTCTAACATGCCAGAACGCTGGTCCCAGCATGGTTCGTGTGGTGATTGACCCAATAGTACACCTCCCGTTTTTGACCATGTTGGTGCCAGAGATACTAATTTTTCCCAAACTGATCTTTTGAACCATACATTCAACTGTAATCTTATTTACCCTGTGACTTCTCTTGTGCCTCGGGTAGTAATCAAGAGATGTGTACCTTTTTTATGGTCTTTTTTAAAATTTAGCCGCAATTGCTCATCCCCAAACAAACCCTCTCTCCTAGCCCTATATATGTCATTGGCACGACAACTGGATCTTCCCCTTTCCAGTGCAAGTTTCTCTCCAGCCCTGAATCAGCACCTGTTTAGAATTTGAGAACGTTAGGAAAATTAGGAATTCAATATTAGGCTATGCTACAATATTGGTGGCTGTTTCCTTGTAACTGAATTCATGTTAAGGTAAAGCATCATGAATGTTTGAAAAAGAGCAGCAGCTGTCTGTCTCTCAGCTCCCGTTTTCTAGTTCTGATCTTTCCTGGTTGAATTTCAATAGTCTGCATATTTGAAAAGCTCTGTTTTCAATACTGTCACTTTCTTCATTGGTAGAAAATATATTATTTGAGTTATAGCTGACAGCTCTCCATTGATCCAAGATTACAGTTTTCAGAGTGGATAGGGCTGGTGGTCAGTCGTGGTGCTAAGCAGAATGGGAAATGTCCCAAAATGTCTGGGGTGTTTTTTATTGAAGGATAATCTACAGAATAAGAAAGGGAATGAATGGGTCGATCAAAATTGTCCTGGAGTTTTGTGAAGTTGGCTTTGAGAGAGGAGTACCTGACGTGCCCTGGAAAAGAATTCTTAGCCCACCGTGTGTACGCGTAGTCTGCTGTCATTGCAGGCAGTTAGTAAAAGTGGTTTTGTATATTCCCCCCCCCCCCCCCCCCAATATATAATACCTAGCTTTGAAAGTAGGCCTGAAATCCCACAGGTTTTCATTCTAGCTACAAAAAAAGTTAGCAAAGAAAGGTCATTGCTGTGCAAAGTTTGAGGTTAAACGCATCAAATTTGATCATCTTTAATATAGACAGAATACATTTGTTTGGAGTGATATCCCTGGAAATGTAGTAATCTGTGCTTGGTAGATTTGTTGAAGGATCAACATGTTGGCTTTTCATAAAGTTGGTGGACTCTGTTACTTTAAAATATGGGTGAGACCCAATTCCAAGATTACCATCCTGATTCCCAGCACTGCAAAATCTTTCTGGGGTAAATAGAGTCCACATCCTGATTCGTGACCTGGTTGTCGTCTTTTTGGGGTAGATGCCGCCAAAATTCCCTCGCTGTAGTTTTTGTTGAATTGGGCCAACTTCTTAAAGGCTTTGTGCATGATCCTTCAGGTATAATCGGCTATAGTCTGAATGAGGGAACCGTTTTCAAAGAATTTCAAAATATCTTCGCCATGACTGCCAGCTAACCTCTGCCCCACCTATGGTTAATCATACTCTCCACACCAACTCATTGCACTTGCATGACCATTCAACCAGTATAAACTCTTTGTAGAACCAATGTAGCCCTCCTATAATAACAATGCAATGTGTGGCACACCTTTAAAAATAACCTTTTCAGGATCCTTAATGTGATGCTATTGTATGCTATAAAAGCACCAATAAATCTGACTTTTTAAAAAATCAATAGAAGAAAGTACAAGCGCTTTACTCACCTTTTTATCTTGTGTAAATAACAGTGAGCGATTAACAAAATAAATCTGAGAAAAGCTGAGCCTACAGTTTTCGTTAGATTGTTGAAAATATCCCTATAAGGAAAGAAATTGCTTGATTGACAGGCTTTTGAGGAAAGATATGCATGACTTTACAAGCTTTTACACACATGCCATGTTACCAAAGGATTCATTTGGTTTTGTACATGTATACTGGGTGAACGTGCATACATCTATTCCAAATCATTGTACTTTGTATGAGGGACCATTTGGAAGTTGGTGGGGTGCATGTCTTGCCATGAAGGATAGCAGTAAAAATTGTGGGTAGTGGAGGAACAGTGGTTGGAATGGAAGATAGAAGGTGCCATTGGGCGTGGGTGAGGGCTTAGGTGTCAAGAGTTGTCATGTTTCTGGGGTAGTGGCCCCAATTCCAAACTAATACCTATCCTGCACCAGTAAAATGGGTAAATTCTAATGTTTGCAGTGTGGCCATTACAACTATTTTTTCTTTTTTGCTCATATAACTGAGATACCAAACTATGTGCTGTTCTCTAGTAAACCCTGCTGGAGGAAGATTTTAAAATGATCCCTCTGTATATCTAATGTACTTTCTTGATTTGAATTTGTATCTTTAACTATTATTAAACATGAGTAATTTTCATTAAAGTTTCTGCTGTCTTAATTTCCTCTTTTGTAGGTGCTGACGTCATTTGATTAATCTGAAAGTTTGTATTTTGGGCTTTCTAAACAAAGTCTTTGTTTGCAGTAACCGTTATACCGCAATATGATGTGACCCAAAATGTAGCAAGTTTGAATTGAAATTAGATGTAAAAAAATTCTCAAATTTTTAGAAATATAAAGCTACAAATCTTGCATTTTTCATTAGATGCTCAACTCATCAGCTTTTTACTCAGCATGCTTCTTCTCACCCACCGGTTTTTATTATAAGAATCTTTTTCAATATACATCCAGCTTTAAGAAAATATTGAGTCTCATTTATTGAAGTTGTTGAAAGTATTGTGTAGGGATAATTATGGGTTTACTCGCTGCTATTCACCTTCTGTTTTCCATGATTTTTGAATTCCAGAACCATGCCAAGTCTACTGGAATACTTAAGCTACAATTGTAATTTCATGGGTATCCTCGCAGGGCCATTATATACATACAAAGACTATACGGCTTTCATTGAAGGCAGGACATTGCATGTGAAGTGCACAGAAGTAAATGGAAAAGTAAATGGACAATGTGGAAAAAGTGAACCTTCACCTGTGGTAAGTTTTAACTGATATTTCTTCATAGAATTTCATTCTTGGAAAGCAACAAACTGATAAACTTAGTCTATTTTACATTTGTTTTATCACCTGATTTAATTTACTGTTCAGTTAGTTGTTCTTGTAGTCTCCTCTTGACATAACAGCATGTTATTTAGCATTTTGATTTTCCAAGCGCTAGGTAAATATGTAGACATGAATAATTGTTTTAAATCTGTATGGTATTTAGTAAAGTCTTGGTGTTTCTTTTGTTACGCCAATTTGTTTTTGCCCACCTTAAGTACCATTGTTAATCCAAAATGCCCACCCCTTGCCAGTAGGAGGCCTGATGGGTTCAATTGAAGGTTCTTGATATTTTCTACTCAACTTCTTCAGAGATGTTATTGATCACCTCTGGAGCAGGTGGCACTTGAACCCTGGCATCCTGGATCAGTGGTAGGAACTCTGTCATTGAGCCACAAGAGCCCTTCAATTGAAGCTTCTAATTTTTTTTTAGTTTACAATTCTCCACTTTTACATAAGTTCAATTTAATTATCTCAATGATTTCTATTAGGGTTTCCTGATTGCAGCATCTGAGTCAGTTGAACCCTTCTCTGTAGCTGTTATAAATCAACCTGTCTGTATATGTTCTGGTATACCATGTGTCTGGAACAGGTGGGACTTTAAACCTCTGGCTTAGAGGTATGGGCTCTATCGCCACAATGAGAGTCCATCAATTGAAGCTTCTACCACAAATCTTTATAAATTTGAAAGTTACGTTGTTGGACATCTTAGATTGAGGTCACTTACACAACTAGCTGATCTGTCCTTTATTTTTTCCAAACTTCAGGAGCCGAAGAGGATTGTTTGTCATATTAGACAACTGACAAAGTTATAATGAACCTTCAGGAGGGAAATTAGAGATGGCCTTTATTGAGTGGGGAAAGAAATCAAATGCTTTATCAGCTTGATTTATGTTGGATCATGGATATTACTTGGAGACCATGAAACTTTGTGATTCTGCATGTACACCTGTCATGTGTTTTTGGCAGGGGGTGGAGTGGCTAGGCTATGACCTTTCCACCCACCACCTGGCTGACCCCTATATTACAAGAAGGGGCATTGCCAAAACTGGGACTGCACAGGAGAGAAAGGTCCACTTTACTCTGTAGCCTGCACACAATGTATTACGTAGGCTTTTTAAGTCTATCGGCTAACTGCCAATGTTCCTTACTGTGGGGGCCACTTGCCCATCCTCTTAGAATCCTGCCTCTTGGAGCTATTGGAAATAATGATTAGCAATTGTACGAAAAATATAATTTTGTAAAAACTATCAAATATACTTTGGTTTTCAGAATCGGAATAGCCTTTACTGTCACATGCACTTGAATAAGTGCAGTGAAAAGTTTGTCATGACGCCTTCCGACACTATCTTAGGTGCAGACTACTTAAGTGTAGATACGTTAAGTGTTGTTATAGAGTTTTTTTAAAAAATAGATTAGCACGAGAACAGATTTTTTTTTAAGCAGTCCAGAATGATGATAAAAGTGGCCGTAAGTACTTAAGTTCCAGTCCTTCTCCAACATGATGAGTCCGAACCCGCCAACCCCAGAACACAAGGCCATGCTGCCTCCATGTGCCAGCTTCCGTCCAGGACTCGCTCAGCTGCTCCGGTACTTGGCCCGTTTGCTCCTCTGCCGCTGCGGTGCCTGATAGAATAAACTTTAATGTTCAACTTCCTTCTGTTTTCTTTCAGGTACCTGTACTATGCAAGCTCCTTGTTTGTGGGATTGCTTTGTCCTTTCATTTGACAGTTACTAAAGCATTTCCAGTGGAATACAATATTGATGAAACCTTTGTGACTACAGCTTCCTTAATTAGTCGAGTGCTTTACCTGTATTTTTCATTATTGGCAGCTAGGCCAAAGTACTATTTTGCTTGGAATCTAGGTAAGCATTTCAAATGCTTTTGATGGGTGTTGACGTTTATGAAAGCACTTTTTTTCTATTTGTGGAATGGCTGAATATCCATTTTAATGGAGTAACTCCTGCAGACTGCAACAGTGTAATGGTGACCTCAAGTGGTTAAAACCATAAACTAGATAAGTAGTAGTAGCTTTTAATTCTTTGAAGTTCCTGTATAGCATAAATTGGTTAATTCAACCTTTAGTTAATCGTGATGAGTGAATGAGGACTTTTCTGATCAAAGTCTGATCAGTAGTTGATTTGTTTCTAACCTAGCATGTTTGAATGTTGCATAAATATCAAAAATGTTTTTGACATCTTAACCTGGTGCTTTTTATATAGGATCTTACTTGGGTATATTTTTAATGCTACAACTGTATAGCATATTTGACACCTAGCAATGTTATCAATCATGATTAACCACAAATTTATCAAACAATCTAGTTTGTAATATTTTCTGCATTTTAATTGCGTATGTATGAGGAAATCTTATAATTTTACGCCCTTTACTTTCCCTCCAACTGTCCCAATTCTCTCCAGCTAGTTTAAAATTAATAATCATTATTAATAAAATTAATATCTGTTATAAAAATAGCTGCTTGAATAGTCAAAAATCATGCAATTTTTAAAAATTCTGGGCAGTCATGATAGAGGTCGGGTTGAAAGAAAAGCTATTGCTGGAGATGCTATCTCTATATTGGACAGGCAAGAATGAAATCTAGTGAGGACAGTCCAAAAACGAACTGAACAACAGAAAAGCGACATTGCGGAAAATATCATATGGCCAATTGTGGAGAAATCTTATAAGGATATGGAGAAGGAAGAGAAAGGGAAGTTAACATAAATGTCAACTGTGACTTTGATTTCTGTCATTGCTGAGCATAAAGCCGCAGATACCTGAGATTCTTAATAAAAAAAGAAAGAACTATGGATGCTGTCAATCAGAAACAGAAATTGAGGAAGGGTCACCCAACCCAAAAAGTTAACTGATTTCTCTTCACAGATGCTGCCGGACCTGCTCAGTTTTTCTAACAATTTCTGTTTTTGTACCCAAGATTCTTGTGTGGTTCTAAGGAGGGACAGGACAATTGAGAAGAAAGGGGAATAGGGTGATGATAGTTTGGTAACAAGCTTGAAGATAGAGACATTTCTAATATTAACTAACAAGGGGCCAGTCAGGGAAGGGGAAAGGTCAGTGGTTTGGTGGGAATGGAGGTCAAGCAATAAGGATGGATAAAATGAATTTGAAGTGCAATGTGACCAGAGCTAGGTAAAATCACCATTGTCCACCTGTAGCATCAGGCTGCTCCCTCATCAGAGAGGTACGACTGGTAGTCAGTTTAACCCGAGTGTCACCACACTTCAGGTGAGGGGCGAGCTTGTAAAGGCAGGATCTTCATGCTAATCTCAGCTGGTATACGAACTGAGCTCACGCTGTTGGCATCGCTGTGCATCACACACCGTGCATCCAGACAACTGAACTAATCGACCTCCACCAGAGCCAGAGAGAAATGCAGTTCAAATAGAAAGACTGGTATCTCCTGAAGGATTAACATGCTGGGTGGGTTTGCCTGGTAGTTCCTGGCTTTCACACACGAGACAATTTTGATGTTTTAGTCATATAGACCCAAATGGTGCAATCTGCAGTGGTGGGGAGTTTTGTGCAGTAGCCTAATGAGAGCAGCAGTAGTCAAATTATATTGCTTAGCTGGGGTCCAAATGTGGATGTCTGCTTGGAAGCTCTCACTAAGACTGAATCAAAATATCTGCTTTTAACTTTATGCTTTTTTAAATAAATCTAACACTGACATTTATGCAACCAGGCTAGAGAATTATATCTGACTAGAATTCTTGTATATGTATGCGTATTTAATGAAGAAAAGCTTTGGAGTTCATTCATAAGTTTTTTTTTTTTTAGAAATAAGTGTTATTATCACATTCAATTTTATTTTGAACAGCTGATGCTATCAACAATGCTGCAGGATTTGGCTTCAATGGCTATGACGAGAAAGGCAATGCCCGTTGGGACTTGATTTCAAATTTAAATATTGTTAACATTGAGGTAAGAATTCATTTTGTGGCTGCCTTTTTTTTTAAAATAGGCAACTGCTTATTTGTAGCAGTGCGCACGCCAGGTGTATGCACATATTCATTCACCAACCAACTGCACACATTGACCCTGTACACATGGCATACTTTTCTTTCCAGTAACTGTACCTGTAACCAAGACGCTGGTTATCCGACTCACTGCCCTTTTAATGTTCCTGAGGTATATACAGTAAGAGATGGGAACAACATCTGAAATAAACAAGCGTGCATGAATAACACAAAATGAGTGTCAGTTCCTTTTGTGGCCTCCATTTCCATCTTCTGTGACACAAAGATATACTTCGACTACTTAAGACATAGCATGCTGACATTCCACGATTGAAATTAACTTAGACTTTGTTTTCATAATATCGAACAAAGAAGTTTCCAATTGAAAAATTGATTGTTTACTTGAAAATACCCTCCACGCCATTAGAGGTTTCTGTTCCCACGTTTATCCTATATATGTAAAAGTAATATCCATCGTTTTCATTTTTTTCCATAGTTTGCAACAAGCTTTAAAATGTTCATTGACAACTGGAATATACAGACAGCACTGTGGTTTAAAAGGTAAAAGTCTTGTTAAGCTGCAGTTTATTTAAGGAGTAACCGAGAGTTGCTGTAGTGGTCATATTGGTTCTATCGATAGTCTGCAGAATATATTCGGAACAAAAACAGAAGCTGTCAGAAAAGCTTAGCAGGTCTGGCAGCATCTGTAGAGCAAAATCAGAGTTAAAGTTTCATGGTGATTGACCCTTCCTCAGAACTCGCAGAATATATTCAACTGAAGAATATATTGTTTGCTATGCTGCAGTTGGAGGATGCTGGTCATGTTGTATTCCTGTTCAGCAATGTAGAATGATGTTTCATCATTTACACGAAGGAGAAGCTGATTCTGTTATATTGGAAGCTTTCCCAAGTTATTTTATCGATACTCACCAAACAAAGCAGTTTCCAAAGTGTGGTTTGCAATCAAACCAGACGCTTTCTGTAACAGACTAAATTATTAGTTTATTCATAAAATAGAATTATTTAAAGAAGCAACTGGTATAGGCAAGACATTGGTCTGAAAATTATGCAGGGAGCTGGCCTGTGTCACACTCCTACCCCCACCAAAATATCTCAAAGCAAAGTTGGCATTGAAACAACAGACCAGAAAAAAGCCAGTCCTGCTGTGGGTAGGCCAAGATAAACTAACTGCTGAACTTCCACCCCTCACTGGGGAGTAACTGTGGGTATTGGGTTCTGGAGGGGGGAGTGTGGAGTTGAAAAACCTAGAGGGGAATGTGAGGGCAGTTAGGTGGGTCTTTCAGAGAAGGAAGGGATGTCTTTAGGGGCATATTCCCAATTTAGAAAGGAATCCCCTGAAAATACTGCCCCATTTTTAAGCCCATTTAAGCTACTTTGTAGAAAAGGTCTTCCCATCCTGCCCAACTGCCCACAGCAATCACTTAGCAACTTTTAAAACACCTAACTGATCCTTAACTGTTCATTCGGCACTCAAAGTCAAAAATCAAAAAGTTAATCAAAGTAAACAGCCAAGACTCTTCGAGAACTACAGAGCTTTAGATGAGAATTTTCAATATTTGGCACAAAGAGCCTGTAGTTTTTAAAAGAATAAGGATCGAACAACTTTATAGGACCTAACTTATCTCCACTCGGTGAATCAAACCAAGATTAACATGGGATTTTTTCTTTGTTGAAATTTATATATTCAATGAATTTGAAGACAGGCACTGGCTTTATTTGCTACCCTGTCAGTTAAGCGATGGACTGAACATACCAATAATCTTTACAACACAGATGAAAGGATAACCACTTGGTAGTGGATTTTGCAAATATGCATGTTATTGTGGATGTTATAAATGTACATGTTGGAGATCTCAGCCCATGTTTATCAATTTGATTAAGTGTGTATAAAAGACGCCTACTTCAAAGTATCATTTATTTCGTTGATTTTTCTAATCTGAGGCAAGCAGCTGGCATTCTGGCAGCTTCTTATGATGCGGTTACAATGAAAACATTTAGCACTTCAAGGTACTAAAACACACTGCTCCCATCAAAATGGGAATGTGACTCCAAACCAATTGCCCCATACTGGGTTTAAAAAAAAAGGTTAGTTTTGCTTTAAGCAAATTGTGAAAACTATTCTACATGCCTGCTTTGCTATTTTTAAAATAAAGTAGGCATGTAAAATAGTAATTATTTTCTCAAGGTCACTGTCCATATCTAAGCCATTGATTTAGCTTTAGCCCATACGTTAGTTTTTGTAAAAAAACAAAAAACTACGGATGCTGGAAATCGGAGAAACAAAAACTGAAATTGCTGGGAAAGATCAGGTCTGGCAGCATCTGTGGAGAGAAATCAGAGTTAACATTTCAGGTCACTCGACTGGAAATGTTAAGTGTTAGTTCTTGTGATTTTTCGAATTTGGGAAATTGTTTACCTACAACTTAACACCAGATACTTTTGTGTTTATTTTTGTTGAGCATTCATACTTTCACCAATACCCAGTGATTCTAAACTTGTAACCTCAGGACAATTTAGATAAAGGAACTGCTTTTTTAAAAAATGTTTTCAATGTTGAGAGTCATCTTTGCCTTCTTGAGCCCCACACTCTAAGAGGGATCTCTTAGGAACTTTTTAATTTTCAGCCGTTTTAAATCTTCTGAAGAAGTTGGTCAAATGGAGACGACTCAAGTTTAATGAGAAGTTGTTTACGTTAATTAATTCATTACCTGAAGTGAGTTCATTTAAATGCCTTTTGTTTCAGAGTTTGCTATGACCGCTGCCTTTACTATCCAACAGCAGCAACATTTGTACTCTCTGCAATGTGGCATGGAGTGTATCCAGGATATTACATGACGTTTTTAACAGGAATTCCAATGACATTAGCAGCCCGTGCAGTAAGTTAATCATTTCATACTTCATCCTCTACATTTGTTGATGCAATCTTGTACCTGCAGTATTTCTGGCTTTCAAGTGCTTCTCTTTTTTCGCTTTTGATAGGCTAAACTCTTTTTCAGTAGGTAATAATTTTTATTATTAAAATGGAAATTTGAATGTCTGCAATGATAATTCACTTAATTAAAGTTATAAATTTGACAACAGACAATCTTATTTAATTTTTTTTTAAAAATTTCAATTATATGCAGTTGACCGACATGCATGATTAATGAATTGGCAGGATGTAGTTTGAGCTGGATGGCTAGGAGAAATTCCACTGTTATTATTGTTCAAAGTCCTTGCAAGCTATGACAGGTCCTGTGACCACATATTTGATAATGCAGTAGACGTTCATTAACTGATACCTCTGTGACCAGGAGTGATCAAAAATTCTGGATAATCAAGAGGTATACATAGCCACAGTAAACCCTGACCACGTGAAGCTTCGAGACATAAACCCGCCTCCTAAAATCCATGTATAAAATGCTCAATAAGTCATAAAAATGCATTGCAAGGGGTATACACATCACTTATACTTTATTTACAGCATAAACAGACATCACAGTATTTGAGGTATATAATTTTTGCCAGTTTATGAAGAAGGCAGGTTGGTAAGGTGACGGTTAAAACCAAGTTTATATTATGGGGTCATTTCTGCACTTCAAGACTTTGTATTGTAGGAACACATCCTGTCCTTCTGTATCCATTACTGTAATGGAAAAGAAATCAGTGTGCGTACATGTGATTTTCCTGTAATTTATCTCCCTAAGTATCACTTTTGCAATGTAAGTGACAAATTGCGGCATTATTTATAAGACAGTAAACTCAGTATTATTCTCAAATGTTGTGTTTTCATAGATTAGAAACAACTTTCGATCCTATTTTCTGAAGTCACCAGCTGTCAAGTTGTTATATGATGTAATAACCTGGATTGCAACAATGATAGCAATAAGTTACACCGTTGTGCCATTTGTTTTGCTGTCGGTAGAGTCATCTCTAAAATTTTACAGGTAAGATGAGAAGGGAGTGATTCATATAAATTCAGCACCTACAGGTGACAAAGGTTGCGCACATGCAAACAGAAAGCCAATTATCATTGATAAGTGACAGAAAGCAGCATCCAGCGTCAAAGATGACACTGCAGGATGTATGCATTTTAGAAAAGTTCTTCAGAATTTTAAAAACAATTTTCTTAAAAAAACTAACACACAAAACAGACATACCAAGGCTGGCTTCTGGTGCTGTATCCACTCTTGCCCCCTCTAGCCCCACCAAGCTCAATTAATCATTTGAGTTTTCATTAACTGCACTCATTTGCAGGCCTTGGAGGAGGCTTAAAAAATTAACCAGATCTTTAGAAGTGAAAAAATAATGGGAATATGTTAAAACATTTTGATTATTTTTAAAAAAAATCTTTCTTTCACTTTGCCAATTGATTACTCCGATATTGTATAGAAATGTTGTGTACACTTTTTAAGTCAGCTTAAGTCAATTTAAAGTTATTACTTGGGTGGTTTCAAGTGATGTATTTTAATGGCTGGCACAAGTAAGGCACAGGCATGTGCAGAAGCGGTACAGATCACATGACTATGGCAAGCCAGCCAGTACACCAACTGCAATTGTATTTCTCCAAATAGAATATATGCATTTCACAAAAACAACAACATTGCGTGCACTATAATTTGCAGTTGCGATTTACCAATATACATGGTCACAAGGAAAATGAACATTCATTAACAAAACCATATTAACTGTAGTTAGTTCCATTTGTTGTCAGTCACTACATGTGAATTGCATACATAACTGTTAAATCATGCAGAACTCTTAATCATGTGTACATTGTTGAAGGCTGAGTGATATCTGCTCGTTCCTTGGGTCATATTTCTTCGAGGATTGTTAGTCCTATCTAGAGTAATGTTGCCATGGTCTTAACTTTCATCCTGATCCATTTCTATTACTTAAGAATGGTGGGTCTCTGGCTCTGATGAGGACATAATGCTTGGTTTTCCAGTCCTCTGAAACCTCTCTTGAATCTAGGGACGACTGAAAGGTTATGGCCAGTGCCCCTGCAATTTCCACTCCGTTTCCTTCATATCCTTGAATGTACGTTATCTAGTCTCCATGGGTTGTTAACTTCAAGTACTGACAGTCTATGTAACACTTCTTCCTCCTTGGTTAAGACCACAAGGTATTAATTTAATACCTCTGCTGTTCCCTGTGGGTAAATTGCACACTTTTTTTGTTCCTTGGCTCCACCCCAATTGATTCTGTCCTTGAATCCTCTTGGCACATCTTCCTTTCTCCAGCACTGCAAAGCTGTCCTCAACCAATATCACCACTCCTCCTGCTTTCCATTTTTTTGAACAAAGAATATTAAACACCCATTCTGTTGCTCCTTGAGTCGGGTCTCTATTATCAAAACAACATCATATTTCCACGTGTCAATCTTCATTTGTAATTCCCTAATCTTAATCATCACACTCAGTACATTTGCATACGAGCACAGTAGCCCTGAACTAGACTTCATTATTTTCTCAAATAACAGCAAAATACTGCAAATGCTAGAAATCTGAAATAAAAACAAAAAACGTTAGAGAAACTCCCCAGGTCTGGCAGCATCTTTGGAGGGTTAATGCTTTGTGTCCAAAGACATCGCCTTCTATTTTAAACATCTCTTTCCCTTGCTTGTATTTCACATCCAGGTGATGTCTCTGCAAGCAAAGTATCATTCTTTTGTTTCTGGAGCAGATAGAAGCAGTTGATGAAAATGCTTTGAAATGATTTGTAGTCACACTTCACTGTCACTGTTTCTCCCAAACTGGTATTGATTTAAAAATTTTTGGGTCATCAACTTGAGCAACTTTGCACAGATATGTGAAGTTCATGATGTTGCATCAAGTGTTGGTGTCTAGCTGACACTTCAGATTCACTTGATGCTCTCCTTCTGCAGCCATTATTCTACCATTCACAAACCATTTATCACCATTTAGAGCTGATGAGCCAATCTGTAGCATGATGTAATGGTTCATGGGAATTGCAGGCTGACATATCTCCAACAGTTACCTTTATAAACTTCTTCTATTTTCTAGCCACAATTGCATGTGAAGTAATTTAGCTTCTTTAGTAGTTACAGCTTTCCCCATATTGGATGTGCTCTTCTTTCTAAAAGCCAAAAGAACTGCAGATGCTGTAAATTGGAGACACAAACAGAAATTGCTGGAAAAGCTCAGCAGGTCTGGCAGCATCTGTGGAGAGAAATCAGAGTTAACGTTTTGGGCCGAGTGATCCTTCTTCGGAACTGCAGGTAGCTAGGAAACTATTAGCTGCTAACAGTCCCCATTTAAGAGTTATTCACTCTCCTAGCCAGATCATTATCCACTCCCTTGTCTAACTTCTGCTGTCTCTTTGGGCTCTATCCCCACCTATCATTTACTCCTTACCCCCTCTCCACACCCTATCTTCTGCATATAAACTGACATTTCTCCAGTTACCATCAGTTCTGAGGAAGGGTCACTGAACCTCAAATGTTAACTGATTTCTCTCCACAGATGCTGCCAGTTCTACTGAGTTTTTCTAGCAATTTCTATTTTTGTCACCTTTTCTTTTCAATGTCCTCGACATTATTTATAACCTACTTTCTGGCCTTGATCTTTCTGCTGGCTCTTCTGCAAATATTTCTTTCTTTCCCCCCCAAAGTTGTTTTCATTTGACCTGACATGTGTCTCAGAATAATCCAAAGCCTCGACAGTTCTCCTATTAACGTGCTGTGACTGGTAATTGCCAACCTTGGAGCTTCTACATGTGTTTTTGAGAGCAAGTTTCTCTTCTCTAATGTTCGTTCTCTCCTGGATCTCTTGCGCTTAAGCATAATGTTTGTTATCTTTGAGATTATCTTTTAGTTGTTCAGACTCTTAAGAATCAGCTCAGTGTATTGGAGTGGTCACTGTTACAACTGATCCTTTGATGAGGATCCCCAATTAGTTATAATTCTGGATGGGATACCCCCAAATGGTTATGGCCCCAGGTAAGGCCAGATGAACTAGCTCCTGTTCTTTACTCAACCCCTTTTTCCTCAGTTAGTTGCAACAAGATTACTTTAGAAAGGATCCAATCCTTCATGGAAATCTTTTCCTAGCTCAAATATGTTTTGTTTTAGAAGTAGCCAATTTAATGAAACTCTCTTTTTAGTTAATGAAAGAATCTGTTTCTTAGCTACCGAAACATGAGAAAATATCATGAAATGTACTTCACACTGATTAGAAATCAGAGGTAGACAGTTAAAGTATGACTTTGGCTTGTCCTTGACAAATAGATTTATGAAACATTTACAGCTGTTAAGGCGGGTGGTTTGAGCAGTGCTGACTTTGGCAGTTGAGCAGTTGTTTGGGGATTCTTGGCTCTGCAATTAGCTGAAAGAAGTTTGTCCAGTTGCTTTCAATCATAGCTGTGCTAACTTGCTCACTGCAATCAGGGAGAGACTTTATTTCTCTTTATCTAGTGTCTAGTGGACGTTCTCAGCTGTGCTCCTTCATAGCAGACTACAGCACAATGGATAATGAACCATAAGCACAAGCATGCCACTAGCACCAGTTGAAGTTGGCTTTTTAACCCTTTGTGTATTCCCTGAAGGACAATCCACCATAAAATGTATTTTGCCCAGAATTGCTTTTCCTTCATCTCAGATCATGCCCACGTGTCTGGGACATAACTCTCAGGAAATCACAGTTCTGTTTTTATTTGAACGGCTTATTTAGGCCACAATACTGATGTAGCATACCTTTTTCCTAACACTGATGGAAGGGTTGCTACTCTTTTTTTTTTCATTTGTTCATTCCTTTTATTTAATTCTGAGCCTATTTCATAGTTTTTGCTTCACAGTGGAAGAAAATCCAATTCTTTTTAAAATTCCTTTCATTTCCACAGCAACAGGAAATGTAAAAGGTGTCACCATTTTGACTCCCCCAGTAATTCAAAGTTGGAGACTGTTTTAACTTCTCCCCTGCTGTTCCTTTTAGTAGTTGGCTCTTATGGCTCTTAAAATCTACACAGAATCAGCTGCACCATTCCTGGAACCATTTTCAAGTGGTATGTGTTAATGGTAACCACAGACTGCACACAAAGGTACTTGTAGCAGAGGTTCAGATCATATGTCTGTATTCAGCCAATCCATGAAGTACAATTTCATTTCTCCAAACTGCACTTACTGATCACTTTCAAGTCAAAGGAGTTTGTACATCATTTCACCTTGTATAAGTTGTTACATTTGTCTGATTTAGAAATTAAAAATATTCGTAAGGCATACCAAAGTCTCAAACTTTTGTCTACCTGACAACCATGCAGTTTACCACCTGGCTCCATTGAATCCCTACAGTGTGGAAACAGGCCAATCGGCCCAACAAGTCCACACCGACCCTCTGAAGAGCATCCCACCCAGATCTCTACCTCCCACCCCATCCCTGTAATGCTGACTAACCTAATCTATACAACCCCGAACACTATGGATAATTTAGCACAGCCACTCCACCTGACTTGCACATCTTTGGACTGCGGGAGGAAACCGGAGCACCCTGAGGAAACCTATGTAGGCACTGGGAGAATGTGCAAACTCCACACAGACAGTCGCCCGAGGATGGAATCAAATTTGATACCCTGTTGCTGTGAGGCAGCAGTGCTAACCACTGAGCCACCGTGCCACCACACGGCAGCTGTGAGCTTTCTGGACTTTCTCTAACAATGTAACTTGCTTTATTCATTTTGTAGCTAAGCTGAGAATAGATGGCCACAGGATTTAAAACTGATGCAGTTTCCTTGGAGCAATTCTCCAACTTTCCTGAGTCTGTCAACTCAATTAGAATCACATTTTAAGTCAAGCAGTTCGATTTAATTTATTTGTCACTTTTTTTTTTAATAACTAATAATTAGTTCCTCTAGTTGTCTGGTAGTTCTGTGGATCCTTCCCTATGGATAGCTATACTGCTGTGTCTCCCGATCCTAAAGTTATGGTTGCATTCTTGAAAATTTTAATTTTATATGAAAGCAAATCACTGTTACCCATTAAATCAATGTTAATGCAGCAGTCAAATTTTGTAGAGTTCTCTTTATCAGAAAAAAAATTAATACGCTATAAGATGGGTGGCACGGTGGCTCAGTGGTTAGCACTGCTGCCTCTCGGCGCCAGGCACCCAGGTTTGATTCCACCCTCGCAACTGTCTGTGTGGAGTTTGCATGTTTTCCTGGTGTCTGCATGCGTTTTGTCCGGGTGCTCCAATTTCCTCCCACAGTCCAAAGATGCTAAATTGCCCATAGTGTCCAAGGATGTGCAGGCTAGATGGATTAGTCATGAGAAATGCGAGGTTACAGGGATAGGGGGGATGCTCTTCGGAGGGTCAGTGAGGACTCCATGGCCTGAATGGCCTGCTTCCATGCTGTAAGGATTTTATGAAACTCTCATTGGCCTAATAAAAGCAGTAGTCTCCATTTTAGACAAGGTTAGGAGCAATTTCTTATTTCTAACATCTGTAAGGCAGAAGTTGCAAGCAACTTTAAATCTATTCACAACTTTCACAAAATAAAGTAAAATCACTGAATTTTATCTGTTTAAAAAATTACATTTAATCACTAGAATCCCTTTTTAGGTTCAAAACAAAGCAAGATTACTAGACTTTGTAAATCATTGTTCAGTTAATTCATTTAATGCCTCCTACTTTAGGAATGGCCACCTTAAGTAGATGGATCTTCCATCATTTTTGGAGATTATTATTTGGGTAGTGAGTTTGTGTATACAAGACAACTAAAAGAAAATTAGAACTATGGTTAGTTGCCCGTGAATCCCTGAATGATGTAAAGTATACTTGGTACGACTGACATCTTGCCTCGGGGCTTTGTGGTTCACGCATCATCTAACCATTTGGAGTTATTTCCTTTGTGTAATCTAAGCTTAATACTTTTTTTTGAGGCATTTGGTCATGCATTTTAAATAGGTAAGGAATATCTCTGAATTCTGTCTGTCCTCTAAGTATGAACTGGCGCAGGAGAGGAGGAGTTAAAATCTGAGGAAGTTTTAAAGGTTAAATGCAATATGGAACACGTACATATTTCGTGCATCTGGCTATAAAAGTTCATTGTTCCTACCAATTCTTAGTTTTATGATGGAATATTATTGAAGGGATACATTTGGTGCTCTAGGTCATATTATCTATTTTAAGCACTCAATTTTGCCCTGCAATTGATTGCATGGCAAACATTGTTTTAGATGTGTAGCTTTCTTAGCACTGAATGAATATTCAATCAATTTAATTCACACCTACCAATCATGATTAATCTGACTCGCTCTCTTTTTTTTTTCTTCACCTCCCCATCCCCCTTAGATCTTGGTATTATGGTCTCCACATTGTTGCCCTGTTGGTCATACTGGCATTGCCAATGAAGCCAAGAAAAAAGGAAAATGAACAGAATCACTCAAAGCAGAAATGGAAAGAAGTGGATAATGTGTTGACTATGAACAGTCATTCTGCTACGAATAACAACTTGAACCAGATCCCAAGACCATCGTGAACACCAAGTGCATTTGAATGGGAAGCTGGACTACAATTAAACTTATTACCTTCTTTAACTACTGACAACGTATTAAAGAGGGTTTTGTGCTGTTGGACTTCTGCAAAGTATCCTGAAGCAACAATATACTATATAAATAATTTGTTTGAAAGGCAGCACGGAAACAAAACTCATTTATATTTAACTAAAGCGGAGAAGGAATGAAAGTAATGTGATCAGCTGCACTTTGCTGACCATAACTGGTTGGAATTGATCGCTACTATGCACACTACTTCAGTCTAGAGATTATTGGTTTTCTTTACCTTTTATGGAAATGTTGCCTTTGAGAGGTTATTGTAACCACATTTTTAGATAAGCCATGAAGTTGTACTATCTGAAGTCATCTACAGCCAGTCCCACTAGAATCTTTTGTACAAAACCAAAACTGTATGTGATCCCAGATATGGCGCTTTATGCAATTAAAATAGCTAGAGGTGGATAAGTCTTGCTGATAATGACTCATCCTAAATAGCTACAACTGATCTGTGAAAATTAACATAACTTCAGTGTAATGGGGTGATCAAACCACTTGCTTCATACTTTTTTTCCATCTTGGGAATTTGCAAGTTTTCTTGGTTGATCCTGTTTTGCTCTTGTATTCTTTTATGAATCAACTGACTGAAAAATACTGTGATCTTGTGTACTATGTGATTTAAAAATTTACATTTTGGTAAGATTAATTAGTTTTTTTAAAATAAAGCTAGCTATATCCTCTCCCCTCTTCTTCCAGTTTTTATTTTGGGAAGTTTTGGAAAACCATGTCTAAGTTAAGCCATCTGACCTTGCATTTACACCTACAACTGTAGCCATGATGATGTTCAAATCCAAAGTTGGGGCCTGAACTGACTCCAGAGCAAAGGGTCTTTAACAGAATTAGCTTGATTATTCTCTACCAGCTAATAGTTATGAGAACCTGTTGAGTGAATCTGAAAATAAGACTTTTTCCTTGAATGTATTTTTCACTGCCTGATCCGAACATAAGTAACATTGGCTTCACAGGATTTACAGCACCCAGGACTTCCATCAAATTAGCTTTTGGGTAAATGCATGATTGGCAAAGATTTGTGTTGAAAGGTACAAAGGAGTTTAAAGCTGACAGTATCAATTTCCTGACCAGATAGAAATTAAACCAATACTATCTGTTTCATTGATTTGAATTGCATCAATCAGCAGGAAAATGTTAAATGCACTTCAAGATGACACTTTTTTGATTTGTTCTATGTAATTATGTAAGTGACATTGCCTATTGAGGTTAAACACTATGCTTGGAGTAGAAGCTAGGAGAAGTAAAAGAATTGTTTTCAATATAAAGCTTTCAATGAGGCAGTATGTTCTGCAATGTTAGGCTCCTGTAAAAATTGCAGTGTGTAACATGCACAGCGACATTGAGATTTTAGCTACCAGGATAGTAAATATATAGAATTTTCATTCATTAAATTTGGTTGTGAGGTTTGGGTTTTTCTTAATTATAGGGACATGGTTTGTCTTTTTGCATTTAGTGTCCAAACTATAAACTGCACATGACGTTTTAAAGGGTGCATGTTTAGAAATTGAGAATTCCTTTCTATTTAATTATCAGATTGATTTTTGTCAGGAATGTTTCAAGGAAGCTGGAAGAAACAACTCCTCAATTTGCAGTGTTAACAACAAACCGTTTTTTAAATTAATTCTGACTGGAATCATATCCATAATCTGCAATTACATTGTGATGCCATTTTCTTTGTAAATCACTTTTCTATAAGTTACTTGCCGCTCCAAGATTAATTGCAAAAAATACTATCGATAACCGTCCAGCTTGGTTCAATTTATAAAAGTAAAATTCTTAATGATAATTTAAAATGAGGACCACTAAGGTTTCATTACTGTTGTATAGCCTACTGTTTAACATATGCATACAATTTGATTTTCACAAATACTAATTTTGGAGTCACAAATGTAAACTTATGATTATTCTACAGTGCGTATAGTTTGAACTGATTCCAAGAACCACTTTTTCCCACTTGGCTTCACATTGTTATGCTAATGTTATTTGATGTTCTTCATGATGATAATCTGTAACAGTCATCTGCGCTTAATTATTTTTAAACATACTTCCAAACAGACCCGAAGAATTTGTCTCCCCTCTCCATAAAGAATTTTCTTGCGTGTGATAATATCTCTGCAATATTGTCCTTACTAAATTTATAAAAGCCATGTTTCAACTGGGAATGTGTTGAGCAGCAAGTATTTTTTTGAAGGGTTTTGCCTGGGAGATATGAACACACAGAAATTGCAATGCCTACCAGTCTGTATGTTTGTGTGCTTCTGAGCAAATGGTTTGAATCATGTTAATATCTATATATTGTTAATTTCTCCACCCAACTTCCTTTTTATCTATTTAAAAATGTTGATTTATAGATTCTGTTTCAACCATTAATCCTGGAAGTGAATTCCACAACCTTTCAGCTCTTCTTTTCTTTTATAAATTCTCCTGTCCTGAATTTCTTGCATTTTAGTCCTGTATCTTTGATCTCTTGCTCTCAACTTGAAATAGGCTTTTACCATCCTGTCTCATTCTTCAAGAATTTTAAGCACTTTGTAATTTTCAAAGTAATAGGATATTGTTTCAGTGAGGAAAATATCCCATTTTTCAAACCTGTCTTTGTATTTCCTCAAGCTAATATGCAAGTGAATCTGTGCTACATCTTCTTGAGCACTAGTATCTCTTCCCATTGCTCTAAAGCCCCTGTGCTCTGCTTCCTCCCTGCTAAGCAATCTTTATTCTAGTATATTATCATTTCTGTAAATCATACTTCTAAACCTTAGTGAGCTTAAACGTAGTATTTTGACAGAGGCTTTCCCAAAGTCCATATACATTACAGCTACAGGATTTTCCCCAAATCATACCTGTTCTCTCTTCAGTATTTTGAATGTTGTCAAGCAGGAAAATTTCTTTTTGAAATCCCTGCTAGTCAATTTAGCTAATACTGTTAGCCAGATAAGTGATATATTGTTGCCCTCCCCAGTTCTCCTAATTGTAGTTGGGTTTTGCATCAACTGATTAATTGGAGCAGAGCAATTGTATCAGATGCAAGAGTTCTTAACAGAATTGAGTAATATTTGGAAATATTGGGAAATAAATATTTTTGAATTCCTAGAATTTACATTTTTAGTGTCAATTAGTTTTAAATTAAAAATTCTAATTTTTTTAATTGAGCAAGTAGTAATCTCTGAAATTGTTTTTGGGACTAAATTGAAAATTCTTTACGAATTGATAGTGCTAGCTATATCATAGCTAAAATTTGAGCTCTTGCTATTGTGCAGGTTCTAAATAATTAGGTTCCCTCTTATATTTTATCATCTGAAGTATTGTCAACAACCACGGCTAGTCCGTAAGCTGGGTCTTCATAGCTGTGCTGGGGGGAAAATATCTGTTCAGTAAATTTATTGAAGCTAGTGAACTAGCTTCATGTTTGAAACATAGTTGACCACAATTTTTGTTTAAAGAAATAACTATTGTTAGGCTGTAAACACGATCACTTAAAATAAGTTCTCTGTTTCAGAAACTACAATGAATGATTGCATAAGTATCATGTATTTATTCAGGTATATTAAATCTTGTTACCTTCAAATTAAATCTCAGTTGGAAATAAATTTTAACGTCTCACTGAGCGCTTCCAACATTGAGATTTATCACTTCAGGGCTGTCCTTTAGAGTGTATGTCTGGTTCAAAGTGGAAGTTAAGAATGAAATAAGATAGTGTGAAAAAGCCAAGAATTGTGTTTCTCTATAAATATGGATAAACAGTACTTGTCATCTATTCCTTATGTTTAGCACTGGCTTCAAGGACAGCTTTTGAGGGTCGAACAAAATCTTAGTTCTGTTTCTTGCTTTTTAGTTGCCTTTGTTTCAAGTGCTGGATCTGGGTGATATTAAGACAATGTAATGCAAAGTTATAGTAGAATTTTGTTCCATCTGCCATTGCACTGTAATGATGTAATCGTTGTATCAAGTTTACAGTTACAAAAATTGTTCAAACTTCATTGTATTTAAAAAAAAATCATAGTAATGCAAATCATATCCATCCAGGAAAACTGAAGACAATTTGTCTTTTAAACCACTATCAGTAGGTAAGGTATTAAAGATATGGATAAAGTATTTGTATTCGAGATATTGAAGGGAATTAGAGAATTGTTGCAAAATGCAGGACAGTGGAGTTGAGGATTGCCAGATCGGTCATGGTCTCATTGAATTGCAGTGTAGACTCAATGGGCTGAATGGCAAACTCTGCTCCTAAGTCTTATGATCTAAATTTCATCTGATGGTCATCTCTTGAGAAAAAGATGACAACACACCTCTGGATCTCTTGTAATTTGTTTTCAGATTTGACCACCACCACAAATGTATTTGTCTCAAATTGGTTTCAAAAATGGTTCAAACAAGGAGGGGAAAAAACCTTTTACAAATGCAGACTTTGTAAGCAACTTTATTTTTCTATTAATACCACTGTAGAAAGGAATTGTAGCTGCTTTTTTTCCCTTTGGAAATAAATGTTTAGTGGCTCAGTGCTTTTAATCTAATGTGCTTAGACTAAATTATAATCACCAAAATATGCCTTTTCTAGTTTTCACAATGTCTTTTTAATCCTTACAGTAAAATTATTACAAAATTTTGAACTCTGTAAAATATTTTGTACTATACACTACAGGGAAAAAGTTCTGCACTGATGTCATTGAAAAAATTCTTTAGCTTTGTATTTAATGTTAGCAATTTTTCATTGTTTTGATATGATGCCAGCTGTTTGAATGATTGTAACTTCATATAAATTGTTTCATTTTGTGTGTTTGTGTCAAAATGTGATTAAAATAATTGCTAAGAATTTGTCTCCAAAAGAATTTGAATAGAATTCCAGATTTGGGTTTCATTCTATTGAATGAATAGTGTTAAAAATGGTCTGTTATGGGACATTAAACAAAAAAAAAATGAAAGAACTGTGGATGCTGGAAATCAGAAGCAAAGACAGAAATTGCTGGAAAAATTCAGCAGGTCTGGCAGCATCTGTAGACAGAAAACAGTTAATGTTTTGGCTCCACTGATCCTTCAGAACTTCTGAAGAAGGGAAAATGTGAACTCTGATTCTTTCCGCAGACGCTGCCAGACCGGAGTTTTTCCAGTAACTTCTGTTTTTGTCTGTTGTGGGGACATATTTCCTCATGTCTGAAATTATGTAACGTTTGTGATTTCCATTGCTATAAATGGATGCCATTGCAACTCATTTGATAATTGGACAATGTTTTAATTAGTGTTTTAGTTTTAGGCCATCCAAAACCGCATTGTTGATTTTTACATGTATGCTTATAATTCCCAGCTCCACATCACAGGCCTCTTGACTCCTCCAAAGTTATTTAATGAATTGACTGCTAGTCTGCGAGATTGAGCTAGAGTTTACTAAAGGAATCGATGGCCTGACATGGTCATTGTGGATCATGTGGGCAGTGTTAGTATCCAGTCCAGCAGGTAACTGGTACTTGGCAGGAGATAGTTCCAGTGGGTAGGTTGAAGGTCCTCTTTAAGGTCTGTCTGCAGTCTTCAAACAGGCTGCACACAGAGCTGAGAGAGTATTGCAGCAGAAGTGAGCCAGTGGATAACTGCTTTAGCAACAGGAAGTATGGCTCCACGTTTCACTTGAGGTGCTCCAGCAATCTGAGAATAGAGGGAGAAGTTTGTTTCCAGT